AAGAAAGAAGTCAAACTATCACTATTTGTGGATGATATGATAATATATATAGAGAACCCCAAAAACTCTACAGAAAAACTAATTAAATTAATCAATCAGTTTAGTAAAGTGGCAGGATACAAAATCAACGAACAAAAATCAGTAGCCTTCCTATACACAAACAATAAATCTGAAGAAGAAGAAATCAAGAAAGCCATCCCTTTTATTATTGAAACAAAAAAAAAATAAAATACTTGGGAATAAACCTAACAAAAGAAGTAAAGACGTATACAAAGAATACTATAAAACACTGTTAAAAGAAATAGAAGTAGACACAAAGAAATGGAAAGACATCCCCTGCTCATGGATTGGAAGAATTAATATTATCAAAATGGCCATCCTACCAAAAGCAATCTACAGATTCAATGCTATTCCAATTCAAATTTCAAAGTCATTCTTCAAAGAAATAGAAAAAATATTGATGAAATTCATATGGAGCCACCAAAAACCCTGAATAGCCAAAACCCTCCTGAATAAAAAAGAAGGGAATGGAGGCATCTCTCTCCCACATGTCAAACTGTACTACAAAGCCATAATAATCAAAACTGCATGGAATTGGAACCAGAACAGACATATGGACCAATGGAACTGAATAGAAAACCCAGAAATAAACCCACAGATCTATGGTCAACTAATCTTTGACAAAGGAGCAAAGACTATGCACTGGAGCAAAGAAAGTTTGTTCAATAAATGGTGCTGGGAAAACTGGGTCACTACATGCAAAAGAATGAAGCTTGACTACTACCTCACACTACACACAAAAACCAAATCAAAATGGATTAAAGAATTAGACATAAGATCTGAAACAATAAAATAGATAGAATGAAATATAGGCGAAACACTACATGACATGCACCTCAAAGACATCTTTACAGACGCATGACCCAAGGCAGTGATAGTGAAGGCAAAGAGCAACAGCTGGGACTACATCAAATTAAAGAGCTCTGCACAGCAAAAGAGACAATAACAAAAACAAAGAGAAATCCCACCGACTGGGAGAACATTTTTGCACACAGCACTAATGAAAAAGGACTGATCACAAAAATCTGCAAAGAGCTGACGAGACTCAACAACAACAAAGAAAATAATCCAGTCAAAAAATGGGCAGAAGAGCTAAAAAGAAACTTCTCTGAAGAGGAAATGCAAATGGCCAACAGGCATATGAAAAAATGTTCAACATCACTTGTAATCAGGGAAATGCAAATCAAAACTACAATGAGATATCATCTTACACCAGTGAGAATGACACATACTAAAAAAACTAGCAACTACAAATGTTGGCAAGGATGTGGAGAAAAAGGAACTCTCCTGCAATGTTGGTGGGAGGCAAACTGGTCCAACCACTATGGAGAGCTGTGTGGAGATTTCTGGACCTACTAAACATAGAGCTTCCATATAATCCAGCATTTCCACTCCTAGGTATTTACCCAAATGACATAGAAACATTAATTCCAAAGGGCACCGGCACGCCTATGTTTATAGCAGCACTATTTACAATAGCTAAGATATGGAAACAACCCAAATGCCCAAAAATAAATGACTGGTCAAAAAGATGTGGCACATATACACAATGGAATATTACTCAGCTATCAAAAAAGATAAACAAATGCATTTTGCAGCAATGTGGATGGAGCTAGAAGGGATCATGCTCAGTGAAATAAGCCAGAAAGAAAAATACCAGATGGTCTCACTCATAGCAGGAATTTAGAAAACCTAAATAAGAGACCAGGAAAAAGACTAATCAATGCAAAGTAATAATCAAAATCAACAAGCAATTATAAACCAGACACACTATGGGGTGGGGGAGGTTACAATGGGGTGGGGAGAGGAAGAACTAGAGTCAAAATAAGGGGAGGTGCAATTGTATGGGGAATATAACCAAAATGAAAATGCATACATTGTACAAAGATGAAAAATGATATAAGAATTATATAAAAGAAAATATTAAAAAATAAAATCAAATAAAATGTATAATTTAGTGGCCTTCATATCCACATTTTTGTGCCACAATTTCAAAACATTTTTTAAAAAATCTTCATCAACCCCATAAGAAACCCTGTGTCATCTAGATACCATCCTCTGCACAACCGCCCTCCTTGGGCAAACTGTAATCTAATTTATGTCTCTGAAGATTTGTTTATTCTGTGTATTTAATACATATGGAATCATATATGTGACCTTTCATGACTAACTTCTCTCATAATATTCTGAACCTTACCATTTCAGTTTTATATATTCAAGGTCCAACCACGTTGTAGTATGTATGGAACTTTATTCCTTTTTATCATTGAATAACATTTCATTTATGTATATGTGACATTTTCTTTATCTACTCATCAGTGGGTATACATTTGGGCTGCTTCCAATTTGGAATAGTAGTGAATAATGCTGTTATGAATTAGCATTTATAGAGAATTTTTTGTGTTGACCAATCATTTTCATTTCTTTTGGATATATATACCGAGGAGTGGAATTATTTAGTCAAATGGTAACTGTGTTTAACTTTTTAAAGATTCTGATTTCTCTCCATCCTCATCAACTATTATCAGTTGTTTCCATCATAAGCATATTAGAAGCTATGATATGGTATCTCATGGATTTGATTTTTGTTCCCCTAATGGCTCATAATGTTGAGAATCTTTTCAAGGGTTTGTTAGCCATCTGTATATTTTTTTTTTTTTGAGGAATGTCCATTCAAGTTGTTTGCCCTTTTTAAATAATAGTTTCTGGAGTCTCTCTGTTCATCTTAGTATTATAATCAAGTTACAATAAGTCAGAGAATTTCACATGGAAAATTTTTATTTATTTTCCCCCGCAACACAAGGTTTATTTTTATGCTGCAACATTGTGTGTGTGTGTGTGTTGTAATTCAGATGCAATCAAATTGGTCCTGAAAACAGCCTCTCATGAACCACATGTTTTAGAGCAAGGGGGTGAAAAAGAACAAGTGATTGGAGCTTGAAGACGAACCATTTACCTATTTCCTGGTGAAACAAGTTGAAGTAATTTAAAAGTAAATAAAGTGAGGGAGGACATGTAGGGGGAAGGAATCAACCCAACCAAATCCCTTGATTTTTATTTCATAACATGAAAGCTTAGCACAGGACAGCTCCCACAGCTACATTAGTGAGAATGGTAACAGAATCCAGAAGAGTTTTTTGCTCAAACTGTCAGCGAGCTCTAGTCCAAAGAAGGCCAATTATTCTGGCATTCCTCACCTGATGACCACAGGACCTGCTGCTTGTGTTTTTCTTGTTTTCAAAAACACAATCACCTGCCTGTAACAGGTGTATCAGTCTGCCTGTTCTGATCCCCATTTGGTCTCTGGTGAATCCTCTCACCCTCCCACAAATCTGGTCTGTACCCCTGTATGCATGAATAAATAAATCTTAAAAAAATAAATAAATAAAAGTTACCTTAAAAAAAGAGAGCGCAGCTTACCCACGAAATATACCTTATGACATTCTTCTAAAATACTGTACAGGGCCTCCCTGGTTGCGCAGCCATTGAGCGCTGGGTTGTGAGGCTGCCCGCAGCCTCTGCAGCGCCAGTTCGATCCCCGGCTGCTGGGCGAGGGTCCCACATGGCGCACAGACTTCTCCTGCCGCCCGCTGCTCCCCAGCAGTGTACTTCGTCAATTTGCCTCTTGTCTGCTCCCGCTCGGACTCTGGTGAATTCTCTCACCCTCCCGCGCTTCTGACTATACCCACTGCTTGTATAAATAAATAAATAAATCTTTAAAAATAAATAAATAAAATAATGTACAGACCTGCACATCCGTTTAAATGATGATACACACTCTCTTGTGTAAATGATCAGACACTTTAATAAAAAGCAGAAGAACATGGTTACAATGAGCTGAACAACTTGGCAATTCTGACCATTTTTCTAGGAGCCCTCTTTTTCGGAAGTGTTAAATATGATTTTCCCCCTGAGATGTGATATCCAATTTTTTCTTAAAATGCATGCATTTCTGGGTATTTTGTTTTATTTTTACTTAGGCTAATTTGATTCTCTCTTTCTCTCTCTGAAGTACATCTGACTTCTGCGCAGACCACTGAAGAGGGCTATTTCTTACTTATCCTATACTCCCCATCACTCATTGCAGCCTAAGTCTTTCTCTGTGGTTGTGAGGCTGTCTTCAACTTGATACCCCCTGAGCAGACCAAGTTCACTGTCTTACCTTCTGCAAGTTCTCACCCAACCCTCTACAGCCCCTCATATCTATGAGTTGGGGCAATCTCCATCTCATTTTTTGACAGGAATCAAAACCAGTTCCCTTTTCATACTCTCTCTGCTTTCACACTCTTCATCCTCTTTGCATCTCATTCACTTTCTCTTATTTTAAGTTCTTCTCTTCTTAGTTTCTCTTTTTCCATGAATTTTGCCTCCAGAAGATCAGGCTATTATAAACTAGTATGCATTTATTTTTCCAAACTATACATAAATACATCATCGTGTAATTGGCATCTACATGAGAGATCAAGTCATTTCATTTTAAAATTCTGGCCAGGATTTGTTAATTTTTTTTAAGATTTTTATTTATTTATGCATACAAGAACTGGGGTACAGGTCAGAGGTGTGGGGGGTGAGAGGATTCACCAGAGACAGAGTGGGGAAAAGAATAGGCAAAATGGCCGAAGTACACTGCTGAGCAGCGTGCAAGTCAGGAGAGATCTGCTACGCCATGTGGGTTCCTCCCTGGCTGGCTGGAGGATGGAACTCATGCTGCTGTGTCTGCGGACAGCTTGATAGGTTGCGTCTTAACCCCTTTCGCCACCAGGGAGGACCCAGGATTTGATTAAATTTTGATGAAGTATATCAAGTGGCATAAGACCTACAGATAGTGTGCAGAAGCTCAGGATTGGAAAACAGGTGTCATTGTTTTAAGTATCCTTTGAGCAATAGGGCTCAGATGTCAAAAATCTAGCAAAGTCATCCTGACCGACTCCCAGTTTGCCTTAGATCTCTGTGCGGAAGGTGAGGGTGCTGCCTGCCATTTTCTTCTCGTAGTCCTTATCAAATTCTTCATTCTGGGCCACAGTAAAATAATGCTTCCAGTCACCCGGCATCCCTGAAACAAAGCAAAGCCTCAGTGACTGCTACGGGCATACAGAGAAAAAGTGAACACGTGCTTTTAGAGCTGGCACCAGAACAGGAGTGGAAAGGAAGCTTGCCTCTCAGTAAGTATTGAGCAGTGTTACTGAAAACAGTAACCAGTGGAACAGGAAGCATTACTTGAAAATCTGAGTATATCCTAGCAGACAGAGTCCAGTTTGACACCTTAGAATATAAGTCTTATATACCTTTCCTCATAAAAGGGGAGATGGAGTGGTCCATGAAGCTGGTTGGGAAAGTGGTGTAGTTGGCCATTGGGTTTTCCTTCATTACATCAAAGGAGGTGTGATAGATTATTTTATTCAGAATTTCCTCTGATACTTCTTTCTCCAGGAACTTTAATATCTTCTGAATTTCCCTCTTTGGGTCCTGGATGGAGAACAGTTACACAAAACAAACAATTCTGGGTTTTCATTAGGGATGACATTCTGTTGGGCATGTAGTTTGGGGGAAGGGATGAACTAAGGGACTAGTTCAACTATATTCAACAAATATTATTCAAGTGAGGACTATATCCAAGGCACTGTACTGTCCCAGGTGTTGCCACTGACCTCAAAAGGTTTACTTTGCAATAGAGGAAAGAAAAGTAATCACAACAGCTGTCCATGGCCCAGAAGCACGTTCTGCCCACATATAGAGAGAATGACAAGGAATGTGATGGGAATGTGCTAGTATAGCTCCTGGCCTAGATCAGGGAATGCTGTATATATTGTGGGAAATGAGGCTATGAAGTACTGTATAATTAACTCTAGGATTTACTCCATAAGATGGGAAATGGTCTATGAGTCTAATGGAAGTTCCACAAGAGGATGAATAAAAGGCATCTCAGCACCCAGAAATGTGAATCTTTGTGCCCTGGTATAGGAGATAGTTTTGTAATTGCAGGACATGGGGTAATGGGAATGAATTTGTGATGCCACTCATACATAATGACTCGAAATGGAGAAATCAGTCCTCTGTTCCCATATGTGGAACCAATCCTGCCAATGTTTATATGGGTTAAACCTCTGAATGTGACGTGGGTTTGGAAAAGAGAGAAGGAAACTAATTGTATTGAATATAACCAGGCACTTCACTAAATCTCATAAATCCTTATAAAAATCTTTTGTCCATGAGTGAGATGCTACCAATTTTGTAGGGGAAGAAGTATGACTCAGATATATCAGGATTGATTCAACCATATAGGCATGTGATATCTCCTTTCATGGAAGGGTCTTCTGGAAATTCTGAACTAGATGAAAGAAAACTTAAAAAACCAAAGAAATAGAACTTTTGAGGAGAAATTGAGTTGGAAAGAATGTCATGGAGAAAGAGGACTGGCACTGCAGCCTCTTCTGTGAACAAGCTCACATGCTAGATTTCAACAGGAGTTTATGGACTGGAGAACGTGGGAGGGTCTGACAGAGACAGCACTGCCCTCACCTCCTTCATGTCTTCATAGAAGAGGTAAAGGATGTGGTGCTGGTCCTTGGCTTCCCACCATCCCTTTACATGGTCATGCCAGGAGCCCCACAGCACTGAGAGAAAGGAGACAGATGGGACACCAATCAACTTAAACTTATATAATAGGCATAAAATGTCCCAAAAAGAGGTCATTTAATAAGTGCAGTCAGATGACCAAGACATAAGGCAGGATTTTTATTTGCAAAAGACAGGTTTGGGTTTGTTTGTTTTTTTTTTTTCAATATTGAGGGAGATGATAAAAAGTATTCTGGATTCCTGGACTTCTGTTTCTACTTTTGAACAAATTACCAAGAGTGACACCGACTTGTGACCAGTGATTCATGATCTTCATTTCCCTTGTACCATGGCATGGTGCCTAGATCAGCATTGTACAATAAATATTATTTCTTACTAGGCTTGTTTTGAAAAGAAGATTTTTACTCTGAAAAATCTATAATTACCAGATATTTTGATCACTCTCTATAGTGATAACTGGCAGGCAGAGAGGTGCACTGGTGTCTCATGGACTCTGCCAGAGCCACTCTTCATCCTTCTCCATCCTGGGAGGTAGATTTCTATGAATTATATCAACAGGCTCACTTTTCCTCATTTCTGTCTGGGACTTGGCAACAAGAGGCTCTAGAAGGCTTTTGGAGTTGAGAAGAAAGTGAGCAATGTTTTATGATACCCTCCCTGTTGGCTCACTATTGTTGATTATTTCCCATAACAAAGGTCTCAGATCCTGTAAAGGGGCCTCTCATGCCCTCAGGAAGCAATAGCTCTCTATTGGTGCTCTCCCTAGAATTGTGTTTTATACCTATTGGTTTCTTTGGACTGTGCCAGTAGCTTTTTAAACAGTCCACTAAACTCTCCTTAAATGATTCAGTTTGAACGTGCCTTCAATAAGTACAATTGTTCAATGAAACCCTTCCTTGTCAGTAGGCAAATAAACAAGGAAACATGAAAACACAATTTCCTTTCACTTACCTTTTCCAGCCTTGAACGTCTCAACAAATTCCTCCCATGTACCAGGCTCAGGCACCAATTTAGTCATTCTTGAGAAATGATAGTAGGACACCAGACAGTCCTTTGCATTTCTAGCCACATAGATAATCTTAAATAATACAGCAAGGAGAGTGAGATACAGAGAAAACAAGATAGAAAATATTATTGCTTACTGCAGAGTACCATGCTTTTGGAAAGACTTTGAGAAGAATCTTGGACTATCCCAGCAAGGAATTGATGCACTTTCTATGGTCAAGGTGGACCATATCTTCCATCTTTCTCAGGCAGAATTCCAACTTCCATCTGTGTTCTAGGTTTAATTATGAAGTGTCCTGATTTACTATAATCACCTTAATTGATATTGTTGCAGGTTAAGGAGACTACTGTAGCATTTTTCAGTGCTAATATGACAAAACCCTGGAGGGCAGTGCTACCTCTAATTTTGGAGCTGATTGTGGTGCCATCTTATCACTGCATCATGAGAATGTTCAGAGATGTGCTGAAGAAGGCTTGACTTTCACAAGGTCAAGGAGATCTGTCCTCTTGACTTCTTGCCTTTTCCTCCCCTTTTTCCCCCTCATTACTCAGCATTTAATCTCAGCCTTTACTATGTGCATCCTCAGCAGGTTTGGGAGAAGGAGCATATGATTGTTTTCCCAAGCATTTTTCCCAGGGTCTCATGGGATGAAAAGAATTTCTGGCACAACATAACCAATCACCCAATCATATTTTTCTCTTAGCCCATTACTCCAGTCCTTACATTTCCCACTGCATACCCCCTGGCTCCTTCAGATGAACATAGACTTGGCCTGACTCTGATTCTCATTTAATTCCATACCTTTTCCTACTGCTAATTTTCTCTCCAATGTTCATGAAAGCACTTAGGAAAACAGAGAGTATGATACAACTGCCAAATTCCTAGTATGTAAGTATATCTCTTAATGCTTTTGTTGGTTATCGCCTTTTTGTAATCAAAGCAGGAATAACTAGACACAGGTATTATGGACCTGACAGGGAATATATTCAAATTTATTTGTGGTATAGAGTCAGATAGCTGAGTATGACATAATCTCAAATATTATATTTTCTGAGAGTCTGTTGATGCATTTGTGTAAGATTCCTATTGCTGCTGTTCATATTACCACAAATGTATGGCTTAAAATAAGAGGTTTACTCTCTTACATTTCTTTAGGGCCAGATTTCACTGGGTTAAAGTCAAGATGTCAACAGAGCTGGTTCTTTCAAGTGACTCTAGGGGAGAATCCATTTCATTACTATTTCTCTGCAGGCCACCAACATACCTTGGTTCTTGACCCTGTCCTTGAATCATTCCAATCAACGGTTGCAGTTGTCACATCACCTGCTTCCTTTTTTGATTGTATTTGTTGCCTCTTCTTATTATACTGATATTTAGGATCCACTCAGATAAGCCAGAATAACCTTTCCATCTCAAAATCCTCAACTTCATCACATAAGCAAAGTCCATTTTATCACATAAGGTAGAAATTGGAATATAGATATCTTTGGGAGATGATTATTTAACTTACCAATCACTCCATCATATAATGAAAAGCTTAGATTCCTATTCAAAGAACGAACAATTCTAAGCAATGGCGGGGGGGTTCACACAGAGATTTTTACATTTTTAGAAGGCCTAATTTAGCAAAAAGGAATTAATTAGTATGTGACTAACCAAGTATTAGTGTGTCTTCAAGCAACGAACCTACAACATTGTTTAGAAATAATATTGATTCTTGAGCTGCAAAAGTTACAAATGAGTGAAGTTATCTATTTGTGGGAATAAACCAAGATTGCACATGTCAGAGTGACCTGGGTATAAAGGTGAAGAAAACCAGGAATGGGAAAACATTTTGACATGTGAAAACCTATATAATTGCATTGTTCCTATTTGGAGATAAGAGATGGGCAGGGTGAAGAATTGGTGAGTCATGGAAACCCAGAAAAAAAAAAGGGAGAGTCAAAAGCAGTCACTTAAATTATGTATCTGAGCACTGCACTGACAAGAGAATATTTTTGTTAAACAGACTTGACCATCTGGTTCCTTTCATAAGGCTTGAGACCAGAAATTAAAAGAATCTGCAGCTGTCTTGGGTAAGAGATGCTTTTTAAGATCAACTCACACTCCTAGCAACCTTCACATGATGAGGTTTCCAAAGCAGGTTTCCAACAAAGAGGATGATATAGTTATGGCTGGTATTCTCTTTTCACTGCAAATTTTAAGTTGATGTTTCATTTATATTACATATTTCATTGATTTCAAGATTCACTAATGAAGTAGATGTCAATGAGAAACATAATGTACACTGCATTTATAAGATCTGAATTTGGAAGTGTCAAAATAAACTAAACTTTAAAATGGAGGAAATAGAGGTATAATAGTAGGTGGGACCCTGCCAATTTCTAGGCACTACATCATGGTGCAATGGCTCATCATATCCTTTGCCTGCACCACTCTCCCCCTCTCAGGTTTCCTCTAAGTAAGTCCCTTTCTTATCTTACTCAACCTTGGCTCTTCTTCAATGATTCAAAATAAGATAAGCATTCGTCAGGAAATATGTACTTTGTTTCACTGCTCACTCTCTTTGGATATAGTTTAATAGGCAGTTACTCTGAATGTCTTCACCTGAAAACTTCCTAGTGTAAACCCAGAAATAATACGTTGAAGGAAAGGTGTATCCAGAATGAGGTGTGTGTGAATGTTGGGGTAAAGCCACCATTTTCCCAATCCTGCACTGGTTCTTTCTTTTCTTATATCCTTGATCATTTATCACTTATATAGGAAGGTTCACTACACATACATATCACAACTTGATTTAAAGTGTTGACTTTTCTTACCTTCGAATTTTCTTTCCAGAAGGAGGGTGGTAACATCTGAACAGGCAGATGAGTCTTCAGAGTTCTAGGAGAAGGCATTTTGCTGGCCAAATCCAAACCTGGGAAAAAAAGTCACATAATTTGGCTGAACATTTCTCATCAGTTCCATGGATTCAACATTATCGAATGGTTAAATATCTGAAATCACAATTGACCAAGTCATTGACTCTTTGTCTAAAATTGTGGCTTTACATTCCATTGTTGCCCTCCAAATAACACATTATCATTCATTCTGATAAAGGAAACCACTAAAAAGATATTGAAAACCACCAAGACAACAATATTCTCTTTATTTGGAGGGTGCTGGTGAGTGTGTGGACAGAGTAAGAAGCTGTGAGTTGTCTGAGGTTGGTGATAACTGTGATCCCAACAGCCCCTTGTTATTTTGTCCTTTGGGGTTTTCTATTACTGCAATATGGAATAGATAAAGGCAACTGGAGAAGAGCTGACATACCTCTTAAAGGAGTGCGGTTATTGGACTGGTTCTATCTAAGAAGCGTCATTCTTTCAAACTTTACTTTTCTTTTTTTTCTTTTTTTTTTAATAATAAATTTTATTTTTATATTCCCCATACAATTGCAACCTCCCCATTCTGACCCCACTCCCTCCCCTCCCGCCCCTCACCCCCCAAAAAGTGTCTCTGGTTCATAGTTTTTTGTTGATTTTGATTTTCGCTTTCTTATAGTTATTCATTTTTCTGGTCCCTTATTTAAGTTTTCTAGATTCCTGCTATGAGTGAGACCATCTGGTATTTTTCTTTTTCTTTCTGGCTTATTTCGCTGAGCATGATCCCTTCCAGTGCCATCCATGTTGCTGCAAATTGCATGTGTTTATCTTTTTTGAATGCTGAGTAATATTCCATGGTATATATGTACCACATCTTCTTAATCCAGTCATCTATTTTTGGGCATTTGGGCTGTTTCCAAAGCTTAGCTATTGTAAACAGTGCTGCTATAAACATAGGGGTGCAGGTGTTCTTTGGAATTGATGTTTCTGTGTCCTTTGGGTAAATACCTAGGAGTGGAATTGCTGGATCATATGGAAGCTCTATGTTTAGTAGGTCCAGAAATCTCCACACAGCTCTCCATAGTGGTTGGGCCAGTTTGCACTCCCACCAACAGTGCAGGAGAGTTCCTTTTTCTCCACACCCTCGCCAACACTTGTTGTTGCTAGTTTTTTTAATATGTGCCATTCTCACTGGTGTAAGATGGTATCTCATGGTAGTTTTGATTTTTATTTCCCTGATTACAAGTGATGTTGAACATTTTTTCATATGCCAGTTGGCCATTTGCATTTCCTCTTCAGAGAAGTTTCTTTTTAGCTCTTCTGCCCATTTTTTGAAAGGATTATTTTCTTTGTTGTTGTTCAATTGAGGAGATAAAAAGTTCTGGAGAAAGCCATAAAGTAGATTAAACCAAGTGGAAGAATGAAGCAGTAATCTTGAAGGCACAAATAAGGAAAGAATCAAGATAGAAAAAGTAAGAGATATACAAATGAAAAAGGATGAAGACACACTTGGAGAATTATCTGAAACTAGAGGAAAGGAAATATAAAAATCACAGGAATCCCAGAAGGAGAAGAGAAAGATGAGGGAACTGAAAAAGCTATTTGAGGAGATAATGGAAGAAAACTAGCAAAACTTGAAGAAGGTACTATACATGTAAATACAAGAAGCAAAAACAACTCCAAGCTATCTAAATAAAATGAGACCTACAGCAAGACACGTAATGGTAAAACTTCCAAAAGGCCAATATAAATAAAAAATAATAAAGCTGATAAGGGTAAAAAAAACAGATAACCTATAAAGGAACATCAATTAGGATAACATCAAATTTCTCTAAAGAAATACTACCAGGCAAGAAAAAAATGCAGTGACATATTCAAAATATTCTAAGATAAAAAATGCTAGTCAAATGCTTTATCCTGCAAAGCTCACCTTCCTGTATGAGAAAGAAATAAGGACCAATAGACAAAGAAACCACACCCCCCCAAAAAATATTAAAATATTAAAAGGAGCTTTAGGATTTAAAACAAAGATAGGAATGAACAAGAAATTAACTAGAACCACAAACTAGAACAAAATATTAGTAACAGAATTTTACAGATCAATAATCATTGTGTCAAAGTATTAAACTCACCAATAAAAAGACACAGAATATCTAGTTGGATTAGGAAACAGAACCCAACCTTCCTTTGCTCCAAGGAATGCACCTAAGTTCCAAGGATAAACATAGAATGAAAGTAAAGGGATGGAAAACAATTACACAAGCAAACAACACTCAAAGGAAGGCAGAACCAGCCATACCTATATCAGGCAAAATAGACTTCTAAGTTATAAAGGTAAAAGGAGACAAGGATGGACACTTTAAAATGATCAAGGGAACACTCGAACAGGAAGACATAACATTTATCAATATATACCCACCAAATGAGGAGAACCTAAATACATCCAGCAACTAAATCAAATCTGAAAACAGACACTGGAGAAATACTTATGTGGTTGGAGACTTTAATACCCCACTCTTATCAATAAACAGATCAACAAGACAGAAAATATATAGTCATAATGACCCTGAAAAAATAATTAGACTGTATGGGTTTAAAATACACTTATAGGGTACTACACACCAAAAAAGTGGACTATACAATTTTTCTTAAGTGTGCACGATTCATTCTCCAGGATTTACTGTGTCACAAGAATCAACAATTTCATGAAGATTGACATCATACTGGGTGTCCTCTCTGACCATAAATGTAATGACCTAGAAATCAAGTACAAATAGAATAAAGGGGAATACTCTAATACATGGAGACTGCACAATACACTACTGAGTGATCACTGGCTTAATAAAGAAATCAAAGAACTCAAAAATTACTTTGAGACAAATGGCAAAAAGGACACAACCTTTCAGAATGTATGGGATACGGCAAAAGCAGAACTACGAGGGAAGTGTATAACAATACCTGCCCACATCTAGAAACTAGAAAGAGCACAAATAAACTACATAAAAAAGAATTTAAAAAATCCAAAAGCCAGCAAAAGGAAGGAAATAATAAAAATCAGAGCACACGTAAGTGAAATAGAAGTCAAACAAACAGTCCAAAAGAGCAACGAAATCAAAGCTGGTTCTTTGGAAAAAATAAACAATATAGTCAAATCTTTAGCTTCACTCATGAAGAAAAATAGGGGAAAACTCGGATAAATATGATCAAAATGAAAAAGAATTTCCAGCAGACACTGCAGAAATTCAGAGGATAAGAAGTTATTACTATGAACAAGTATATGTAAACAAATTCACAACCTAGGTGAAATGGACAGATTCATAGAATCATACAATCATCCAAGATTGAATAGAGAAGAAACAGAAAATATGAATAAACCAATAACAAATAAGGAAATTGAAAGAATAATCAAAACTCTCCCAACAAACAAAAGTCCAGGACCACATGGCTTGACAAGCAAGTTCTACCAAACCTTTAAAGACGAACTAATACCTATCCTGCTCAGACTCTTTCAAAAAGTCATGAAAAAAGGCATTCTTCCAAATGTATTTTGTGAGGACAATATCACACTAATACCAAAACCAAACAAAGATGTCACAGAGAAATAAAGCCACAGACTAAATTCTCTAATGAACACAAATTCAAAAATCTGCAATAAAATGGCCAACAGGCATATGAAAAAATGTTCAACATCACTTGTCATCAGGGAAATGCAAATCAAAACTACCATGAGATACCATCTTACACCAGTGAGAATGGCACATATTAAAAAAACTAGCAACAACAAATGTTGGCAAGGGTGTGGAGAAAAAGGAACTCTTCTGCACTGTTGGTGGGAGTGCAAACTGGTCCAACCACTGTGGAAAGCTGTGTGGAGATTTCTGGACCTACTAAACATAGAGCTTCCATATGATCCAGCAATTCCACTCCTAGGTATTTACCCAAAGGACACAGAAACATCAATTCCAAAGAACACCTGCACCCCTATGTTTATAGCAGCACTGTTTACAATAGCTAAGCTTTGGAAACAACCCAAATGCCCAAAAATAGATGACTGGATCAAGAAGATGTGGCACATATATACCATGGAATATTACTCAGCATTCAAAAAAGATAAACACATGCAATTTGCAGCAACATGGATGGCGCTGGAAGGGATCATGCTCAGCGAAATAAGCCAGAAAGAAAAAGAAAAATACCGGATGGTCTCACTCATAGCAGGAATCTAGAAAACTTAAATAAGGGACCAGGAAAATGAATAACTATAAGAAAGTGAAAATCAAAATCAACAAAAAACTATGAACCAGAGACACTTTTAGGGGGGCGGGGGCAGGAGGGGAGGGATTGGGGTCAGAATGGGGGGGCTGCAATTGTATGGGGAATATAACAATAAAAAAAAAAATCCGCAATAAAATCTTAGCGAACCAAATCCAGCAATGCATTAAAAAGATTGTACACCATGACCATGTGGGATTTATTCCAGGAACACAAAAATGTTTCAACATCTAAAAATAAATCAATGTAATACATATCAAAAAAAAGAGAAAAAAACCACATGATTATATCAGTAGATGCTGATAAAGCATTAGGTAAGATTCAACATTCATCTATGATGAAAGCACTTGAAAAACTGGGGATAAATGGAATGTATCTTAAAACAATAAAAGCCAAATAAGACAAAAGCACTGCTAGTATCAGTCTCAATGATGAAAAAGCCTTTCCACCAAGATATGGAACATGACAAGGATGTCCATTCTCAACTTTACTGTTCAACATAGCATCAAAAGTCCAGTTAGAGCAAGCAGGCAAGAGAAAGCTTTAAAACACATCCAAATTGGGAGAGAAGAAGTAAAGTTAACAATATTTACAGATGCTATGATAACATACATAGAGAACCCCAAAGGCACCATGGAGAAACTAATTAAAACAATAAACCAGTTCAGAGAAGTGGAAGATGCAAAACCAACACACAAAAATGAGTTGCCTTCCTATTTACAAATAATGAACTAGAAGAAGAAGAAAATAAGAAAGCCATCCCATTTACAATCTCACACACAAAAAATTAAATACCTGGCATGAAAGTTAACAAAGGAAGGGAAGGACCTATACAAAGAAAATTATAAAACATTGTTAAAAAAAAAAAAACAGAAGACACAAAGAAATGGAAAGATATCACCTGTTCATTGAATGAAAGTGTCAGCAAAATGACCATCCTACTCAAAGCAATTTACAGATTCAATTCAATCCCAATAAAAATCCCAATGTCCTTCTTCAAAGAAATAGAACAAAGATTACTGAAATTCATATGGAACCACAAAAAAAAAACCCTGATGGCCAAAGCTCTCCTGACTAAAAATGGAGGAAATGTAGGTATCAGACTTCTTGACTTTAAACTACATTATAAAGTCATAATAACTAACATATATGGTACTAGAACAAAAACAGACACACAGACCAATGGAATACAATTGAGAGCCCAGAAATGAAACCATATATGTGTGGACAGCTAATCTATGACAACGGAGCAAAGAATAGACATTGGAGCAAGGAAAGTCTCTTCAATAAATGGTGCTGAGAAAACTGGACTTTCATATGCAAAAGAATGAAAGTAGACCAGTATCTCATATCATATACAAAAAATCAACTCAAATGGATGAAAGATTGACACAAGACTGTGGTTACAAACTCACCTGAGTTGAGGGGTGGTGGCAGAGTCCACTCAATGAAAGGATGCCGGTCGAAAGTGTTGGCCCTTTGACACTTCTGCACGTCTCCATCATTTTGGATCATGTCCACAATCTCCTGTGTCCAGGTGGTGCCTGGAAGTATCAGTTATTCTCAGTTCTATCTACTTGCTGTACAATCTATTTCCTTCATTATTTGTACATTCCATGAAATTCATATTTGCTAAGTGTTGAGCAGAATTAGCTCACTTGTCAACTCCCCTCCTTGACACCCACAGTAGAAAATTCCTCTGTGCAACACCCATAGTGAACAGCAACTCTATGACACCCCAAATGGAAAGTCCTCTCCTGTGAGCAATGATGCCCCTGGTTCTTATTTTCAAGGACTATTTGTATATCTGCCATCTTGTAAGACAGAGTCAACAGAGGTAAGAATGTGTCCTTTTATTCTCTTTATCCCTAGTACCTGGCATAGGACTTTGCACCTTATTAATGTAACTTTAGTGAATGAAAATTGAATCAAATTAACATAGGGAGATACAGTGGTAAAGTAGCCACAGTCCCTGCCACATTCCCTGCCCCAATGCTTGTAATGTTTTTTTAAGATAATATAAAAGAGACTGCTTCTTGCCCATTGTTCCCTTCTCTCTCAATAGATCCTCAATTTTCAGCTGGGTATGTAGCTAACTGGCCCAAAGTTGAGGTTTTTCAGTCTTTCTTGCAGCTATTGAATATTACACTAAAGTTTGGGAAATTTTTTCAAAAAGGCAGGAATATGACCTATTTCTTCCCTTCCTATCTCCTTGCTGCTCTTTGGTGTGTGAGTGTGACATCTGGAGCCTTAGCAGTCATATTAGTTTATAAAAACAAATACCACAACCTGAAGGTGATGGCACAGATAATTAAAAGGAGCCAGGGTCTCTTATGAGCAATGCAGTCACCATTTCAGGTCTGGACAATTAATAATTAACCTCCAGACTGTTTTTTCGTGTGTGTGTGTGTGTGTTGGGCAGGAAATGGGGGAGAGGTCTGATATTTATAGCCAAATTGAATCCTAAATGACACAGAAGAGAGGCATATATAGAAATGTGGGTAGGCAAAGAGCAAGACTATGCAAAATATCCACCAAATACCCATTTTTCTCTTTACTAATTTTGGTGTCTCTCTGGCTTGCAAACTTGATGCTCATGGACACATGAGATATATACACATATAATTAAGAGATGAACATTATACAGTAAGAGCCATAAAGGGTGTGCAATGGACCACAGGTATACAAAGGAGGGCAACTTAATGCAGAAGTGGTGAGTGAGGCTCAACTGAAACGGTAGCCTTGTTTTTTTAAAATATTTATTTATTATGCATATAAGAGCTGGGGTATAAGCCAGAGGTGGGGGGCGTGGGGGGTGAGAGGATTCACCTGAGACAGAGTGGGGAACAGAACAGGCGGATTGACTGAAATACACTGCTGAGGGGAGCAGCAGGCAAGACAAGAGAGGTCTACTGCACCGTGTGGGTTAGCTCCCTGGCTGGAATCATATTCATGCTGCAGCGGCTGCAGATTGCTTCATAGTGCTGCGACTTAAATCCTTATGCCACCAGGGAAGCCCCTGAGATGGTAGCTCTGGAGTGAAGAGTTAAAGTTGTATTGAAATGTCAACAAGCACAGGAAGCCACCACAGGAAGAGAAACCTCAGGAGCCAGGACAAAGGCAGGCCCACTTCCACCTTGGGTAGTGTAAGCAGGGCTCACAGGCGATTCAATTATGGTGGGGTTGGGACAAAAATCTGGGGAGTTTGGGACCATCCTATGGAGGACCTTAGAGTTGATTGCTTAATTTCCAAGGAGAGTGGAAAACAAATTTTGTGGTACAGATTTAAGTTCAGATCCGGGTAAAAGAAGTGTCCAGTACAAACATACAGAAGAGGAGATTCTCGAGAAATGAAATCTGCTGACAGAAAATCCCTCCCCTGATTTACTGACTAAGCCCGAACTGAGGAACTCTGGCCCAGGAGGACAAAGTACATGCCAGGGCATGGTCAAAGAACTGTGGTGGATGCAGATGGTAATCCTGAAATATTTATGGTTATGAATATCTAGAGTTCTCCTGTTGGGCCAAATGGTCACCAAGAGTCTCCCAAACAGGTTATAGCTTAAAGCTCTTCACTCACTCAGTCACACTGCATGAAATTACACACACAGATAACTCAGGTAGCTTATCAGTCATTAGACCCCATCTTCACTAGTTATGACGTTCTCTGCTCCTCCACCCCTGCACCAGCCTTCCAAGCTCTTCGCCTTTGCAACCCTTACTACTCCCAGGACCCCCTTTTCATTTTGTACAATATGGATAAATATCACCTCCCCTCTCCCAGATCCTGGTGCACTTGTATAAATTTGGTCCCAACACCATTAGTGCTTTTTAAAGAGGGATGAAAGTGCTTAGTTCTACATCAGTCTCTTCCTCTAAAAGAAGCTTCTTCTAGAGCTTCTGCACAGCAAAAGAGACAATTACAAAAACAAAGAGAAACCCCGCCGACTGGGAGAACATTTTTGCACACAACACTAATGATAAAGGACTGATCACAAAAATCTACAAAGAGCTGATGAGACTCAACAAAAACAAAGAAAATAATCTAGTCAAAAAATGGGCAGAAGAGCTAAAAAGAAACTTTTCTGAAGAGGAAATGCAAATGGCCAACAGGCATATGAAAAAATGTTCAACATCACTTGTAATCAGGGAAATGAAAATCAAAACTACCATGAGATACCATCTTACACCAGTGAGAGTGGCACATATTAAAAAAACTAGCAACAGCAAATGTTGGTGAGGATGTGGAGAAAAAGGAACTCTCCTGTACTGTTGGTGGGAGTGCAAACTGGTCCAACCACTATGGAGAGCTGTGTGGAGATTTCTGGACCTACTAAACATAGAGCTTCCATATGATCCAGCAATTGCACTCCTAGGTATTACCCAAAGGACACAGAAACATCAATTCCAAAGAACACCTGCACCCCTATGTTTATAGCAGCACTGTTTACAATAGCTAAGCTTTGGAAACAACCCAAATGCCCAGAAACAGATGACTGGATCAAGAAGATGTGGTACATATACACAACGGAATATTACTCAGCATTCAAAAAAGATAAACACATGCAATTTGCAGCAACATGGATGGAGCTAGAAGGGATCATGCTCAGCAAAATAAGCCAGAAAGAAAAAGAAAAATACTGGATGGTCTCACTCATAGCAGGAATCTAGAAAACTTAAATAAGGGACCAGGAAAAAGAATAACTATAAGAAAGAAAATATCAAAATCAACAAACATCTATGAACCAGAGACACTCTTTGGGGGGTGGGGGTTGGAGAAAGGAGGAGTTGGGGTCAAAATAAGGGGGTTGTAATTGTATGGGGAATATAAAAATAAAATTTAAATAAATTAAAAAAAAGAAGCTTCTTCTAGGTAAGGGAATCATTCACTTTCAGGACTTCTCAGAAGATATAAACAATCTTATATATCTCAGTAGATAAGACTGGGTTAGCAAGATTTACAATGAGAATCTCTGTGCTATGTAAATGATTTTATAATTTAAAATAATCATATAATCTGTTCAGTCCTCTGATGATTTGGGATTCTGAATGTCGCATTATCTAGCAGGGACCTAAACCAAAATAAGATTTTGGTCCCTCAAGGTTAGAGCTCAGTATAGTTTATACTTTTCCACAGTCCAGCTTTGTAAAAACTTGCACTTTATTTTTTTCAACTCTAGCTACTTAAAAAATTTTGGTTTGTTCAATAAATGGTGCTGGGAAAACTGGACCACCGTAAACAAAAGAATGAAACTAGACCACTACCTTACACCATGCACAAAAATCAACTCAAAATGGATAGAGATCTGAACATAAGACTTGAAACCATAAAACTTGCATTTTGAAATCAGGTATTACAGTCCCTCCAAATCTGGCTTTCCCACCACCAAATCTCAAACCTACCTGATTTTGCATAGGTCGCTATGAGGAGATCATCAGGTTTTGCTTGGAAATTCCAGATTTTGTCCCAGTTATCACTTATAAACTTGGTCATGAGGACTCCGTCCACCTCTTGAGTTTCTGGTAGTAGGTATTTTCCCTTCAGGTGGAGATCCTTCATTTCCTCCAAGGACATCTTTCTATTTGGACCTGTCAAAGGTACTTCAAAGAAACGTGTACTATATCATTTCTATACTTTACAACAGTCATTTCATTAAAAATACATTCTCAGAAGGCCTCCCCACTGGCGCACTGGTTGAGCACTGGGTTGCGAAGCTGCCCGCAGCCTCTGCAGTGCCAGTTCGATCCCCGGCTGCTCCCCGGCCACCGGAGGAGGGTCCCACATGGCTCACAGACCTCTCCTGCCGCCCGCTGCTCCCCTCAGCAGTGTACTTCCGTCTTTCTGCCTGCTCTGCTCCCCGCTCTGGCTCTGGTGAATTCCTCTCACCCTCCCGCGCTTCTGACTGTACCCAGTGCTTGTATAAATAAATAAATAAATAAATAAATAAATAAATAAATAAATAAATAAATAAATAAATAAATAAATCTTAAAAAAAAATACATTCTCAGAGAAAGTCAGGAGAAATGTGTTTCATGTTAATTTAAGTGCAAGAAGTATGTTTTATCTTAAGTGAGCGAAGTCAAAACTGTGGGAGCCTAGGGATTTTAAATAGATTTGTTTCAGAGTATAAATTTGATAAAGCAAAAGAAGATAGATGCAGCAGAGAAAAACAGAAGTGGAAGATGATGGATTTGACTCACTCATCAGCAATGATCTGGTTAAGGTGAGCGAGAGGAGGTGGCCATGAGGGGGACCAAAGCAGGAAGTTCACTAACCCCTATCAAGTGTGAGCGACAAAAGAAGACCAGATCAGAGTCAGTGTTCAGGTTAGCTGGATACAACCTGGTGTGGAAGCAGGTTGGGGCAGCGCATTGATGAAGCTGACTCAGCAGGACAGCTATTGAGCTGAGAGAAGTTCCAGAAGCAGGTGAGGCTTCACTCCCTGGAGGTGGGTTCCTGATCAACACAATACCATCAAAAGGCTTCATTGTTGCCATCTAGATCATACCCGCCTCCTGGGCCCACAGCTCCAGAATCCCCATCCTGCCCCAGATCTCTGGCTGAGGAGAAACGCTTGCTGCCAGAGGAGGTAAGGTCAACTCGCCTGGGGTAGTAACTCCAACTGGATGCAGTGATATTTTCTTTAGTAGAAACTTTCATTTTCTTGACATCTTAAATTTATTGTAGAAATGTAATAAAGTAAACTGAACCATAGCATTATAATTTCTAAGTTTAAGAACAATGTTGGCACATTTTAGTAAGTACTTGTTACACAAAAGCATCCTTGCAATGTTAGAATGTCTAATAGATGAGCCTTGCAAGTAAAAGTTAACATTTGACAGATTAATTAAATATTTAGATTTGGGATTTTAGGTTGAAAATGTAGACAATTTTAATTATTTCATAAATATTTAAGAGAATGTAGACTTACCATGTTCATAAGGTTAATTAGTAATTTGTGAGATTTAGTGAAATTACTAGAAATTTTTGTTTTGTTATTGTTAAGCAACTGAAGTACTAAAAAAAAGAGAATGAAGCATAGCAGATTAAAAGCAATTTAAAATATTTAGAATCATTTTATTCACTAGGTTGAAAAGCCTTCGTAAGTGGAAAACGTTTACCCATTTTCACCAACACTCTGCAGCCTCTTTTGGGGTACAAGACTCTGGTTCTAGCCTTATTTCTGATCTTTGCTTCCCTTACCTGCAGAATAGGGGTTGGAGATGGTCAGATTATACCTTTAAGTTTCCTCTGAATTAATAATAGCATGCCTGATTTAATGTCTTCCTTAGCTAAAAGTCAGATAACTGTGTGACATTTATAGGAAGTTAATGCATTACTCCTTCCTCAATCCTAACATTTAAAGTGATCATCCAGTACACACAATTACGTTCTTCACAGAGCTTGACTTTGGGACTTTGCCAGCACCTATCCTCCCCTACCTTGGGGTTCCTTGTGCACCTATTGCTCACCACACACAGGCCTGTCCTACTAGTCAGTCTGTCCCTCCTCCCTCCTTCTCCTGACCCAAAATTACTGCTCAAGTGTTACATTCTTAAAGATCTATCATTTTCAATCATCTGTAGGTGCTGGAGCATCCCAAGGGATGCCTTTGTGACTTCTAGGGAGGTTTGGGTACATGTGGCCCCCAGTGGTGAGTTCTGCGCCCCTCCCTCCAGCTTGTCACCTAGGCAAGTTCACGTTCACCTGTCTTCTGTTTTGGGCTTCAGTGTATATTTTGTTTTGAAGAAAGAGCTCTGGGATTAACAAAACAAGTGTGACAACCACCTTTTTAGGTCACTGCTCTCTGATTCTAATGTGGCAGTCAGTCCATGCTAAAATATTTAACTTTTCCAGGAAATAATGTCCCAAAAAATCAGAAGTGAGGAAGGACATAGGTGATGGAGAAGGAGAGGTAATTGGAGATCTACCCTTAAAGTAGTCTGAAGCAAAAGAGAAATCTTTGGTCAACTTTCTTTTGTCTTGAAAGAGTAAAAAAAAAGTACAATAGAATATTCTTCAGCACTAAAAGAGAAATGAGCTATTGTTCCATGAAAAGACATAAACCAGAAGGTACAGATGAGGTATTGTGGAGAGAAGTTAATGACTACAAAAAAAAAAAAAAAGCACCTCTATACAAGAACCAGAAATGTCAGCCCTGAACACTTGAAGAGTTCCCAAAATTAAAAAAAAAAAAAAATGATGTCTGAGGACAAGAGCAGACTCGTTCAAATCCTTTTGTAGAAGAAATAGCAACCCCCGTCATTATGGTGAGTGACTGGAAATACAGAGCAGATTCATCTGTTCTCAACTAGCCTCTTTTTTTTTTAAGGATTTATTTATTTATGAATACAAGGACTGGGAAACAGGTCAGAGCTGTGGGATGGGGCGAGAGATTCACCAGAATGCGTGTGGAACACAACAGGTGGATCTACTGAAATACACTGCTGAGGGAAACAGTGGGTGAGTCAGGAGAGGTCTGCTGTGCCATAAGGGTAGCTCCCTGGCCGGGGATTGATCTCCTGCTACAGTGGCTGCTGAGCGCTTCATAGTGCTGTGCTTAACCCTTTGCGCTACCAGAGGGACCACAACAAGACTATTTAATGGAGTTCATTAAACACTGAGTACAAACATCCTCTGCAGATGAGAGTCCCTGGGCCTAAGGGCCTCCCACCTAACCAGAGGAATCTAGATTCTGGTACCAGAATGACCAAAAACAGACCAGGTGACTCCCCTCCTTCTTACCAATGTAGACAAAGCTAAAGTTTCTAGGTGTGGAAAGAAAAATTACCCCAATTCCCACCTAACTGCTCAGGAGGGAAGGGAATGATATTGCTTCCTGCCTAACCTTGTCCCAAATTACACACATAAGTGCTACTGTTGCTTGCAGACCCAGCCCTGACCTATAGATTTCCTTGTGGGGAAAAACAGAATTGCACATGGCTGCCTCTCCTGTGCCCGGTGAGGGTGGGACTTTCACCCTGGGCTCTCATGGGAGTTTCAGGCTCCTGGGGTCCCGCAGGTGGAGGCGTGTGTAAGGCAGGGCATGACCAAAAACTAGCAAGTGAATGCCCCCTGCTCACGTACCCCCCACTGCAAGTCCGGGCAGAATATGAAATGTAGCCCACTGCACCAGGGACGTATCTTGCTTCCTAATGTATTTAATTGCATCCTCGTGTGGTTTGTTCAGACTCAAGGCAGGGTAGGAGCCCAGGAGCCAACACCAATGCAGGGGCTCCTGGCCAAGCAACACTAGTGCCTAGCTGAGGATGAGGTTCAGTTCTAAAGCTCTTTATTCCAGTAGAGTCTAGAGGGTTCTGGAAGGTCACAGGACAGTTCACTGACTTGATCATGCTGGGCTCACGACCCATGTTCATGTCTCAGTATCCATAGCATCTGAGCAGGTTTAGTGAGAGGTCCATCTGTTACTGGGCTTAGAGGTTAAGTTTCAGGCAGCCTCTGATGCTGGTTAATCATAGAGCTGAATCATCTCACCCTCCTGTCTCTCCTGCACCTTGGCCGAAGTCCAGGGGGCTTCGGACCCACCTGCTGCCCATTGCCCTCCCATTCTGTTAATGCCGAATATGCTAGACCATCTGTGGACCCAGATGTCAGATCTGAGTGTGAGTAGTTGTCTGGCCCAAGCCCTTTCTAAGGATAATAATTGAGGAAGAGGAAACCCTTACTGTAGGCAAAAGAAAGACAAAGAATACCTTTGTAGTTCTGACCCTTCAACCCCCACTTCTGCAGTCCACTACCCTGGACCCCTGGATCTGCTGTTAATTTCCCCTTCAGTTCTTTTCAAAACTTCTAGGACCGGGCTCAGTAATAACACCCTCAGCAGAGAACCAAGGCTGGACTCTCCTGGGAGACCTGGGCCCTGTTTTAGGACAATCTCAGCCATCTGACAGAAACACTTTGGGGAATATTCCTTCATGGGTGTGGACTGGCACATCTTCCACCGGCAGCAAAGCAAAAACTGGCAACAATTTTTTGGCTGCAAAGAAGAGGGTCCAAGTAAACTCTGAGGTAAGAAGTTCCCCTTCATCCAGGAAGGCCACTGTGAAACTAATCAACAGAACCCTTGGGAAATTTGGGACTAAAACCAGAAAAGTATTTTTTTTTTTCCTCCTTCTTGCCTTTGAAAAAGATGTTTTCCTCTGATCAGCTAGAGGAAGTGAAGGACTCCCCTTCTTCCCCACCTTGCTCTCTGTTCTCCTTTCAGGAAACTAATCTGCTGCTTCTGCATCAGAGCTTGCAGGCAATACTCACAAGATTCCCCAGGCAAGTGGTTTTCCAAGACCTTGATCTTTGCTGACACTGGGTGACTTTGCTTTTTTAGACTCTTCCTCCTGGAGGAGTCATGAGCTTTGAAGGCCTGGCCGTGTGTCACTTACGAGGAGGTCCCGTAGATGAGCTCTTCCAAGAATCATATCCCTTTGTTCCCTTGATATAGGACCTGCTTGAGGACTGGCTACACCCACATGCCTAACAATCAAGAGAGGAGGGGAAGGAAGTAGCCAATGAAATTTCTGCTCATAATCTTGACAGCTAGCCTGGCTCTCAGTTCCAAC